CGGGGAGTTCTCGGGGCCAAGATCTACTGGCGATGGGGAACTGAGGACCCCGATGGGCCATAAGGAACCCAGACAGGAGACAGTGGTCCGCCGACCTGAGGCCTCAGCCAGTCATCATGTTTATAAGGGGCCTACTATGTGCCAGACCCCGCTGTGGGCGTTGGAGCTTTTGATTTTAGAGTGGGAAATGGACATTAAGTGAGCAATGTAACAGGTATATTTGATGTGTCATATACGTAAGATAAGGTCAACGTTAAGGGCTATGCAGAAAAATAAAGTGGGATAAGAAGCCCAGAGGGGTAGGGTGGAGAAGCAGCTAGCGGTATGGAGGGGTCTCTCCAAAGAGGAGATTTTGAGGGGGGTCTCCATTGCGAATGTCAGGCAAGATTTTTCTGGATAAATCCTTCTGGAGGAGGTTCCTGGGTGCCTGAAGACAAACTGCTGAGGCTGGCAGGGCAGAAGGAGTGACTCAAGAGAGCAGCCTGTTCCTCAGCCCCTAAGAGGAGAAGACGGAAACCCAATATTTATCATTCACCATCCGTGGTCTGGCATTCTGTCAGCACCGTTCTCATTTAACGCTGACAACTCCCTATGAGATATTAAGTATTATCTCCACCTTACACGGAATAGAGGAGGGTCAGAGATAACTGGCAGCTGGCCAGTGGCGCGCCCCCCCCCTCCACCCCCCCCATTCTTTCTGTTGCTCCCTCCCTTCTAAAAGACTTCGACCCCAAATCATTTTCCAGCCCTCGGGGAACTGGAGATGACTAAGACTGGAGAAACTACTATGACAGGGAAATGTTCCCACAGGTGGCACCTGTGATCTTGGGGTGCGGGTGGGCCAGACCAGGAAGGACTCGGTGACATCACCCTGCCGTTTGCAGCCTCCCATATCTCCACTGACACAAGGCTGATGCAGCCGCAGTGTCCCCGCCTGGACGCCCAGGAGTGCAAGCTGGGGACCTCACATCGCTTTGGCCCGCCAGCATCCTGGATCTGGGACCGGCCCGCCCTCCCAAGGGAGCCACCTGGGTGGAGAGGAGAGGGGAGACCGAAGCCACGCACACCTTATCCCCAACTAAGCTCAGGGATTGCCAAGTAGATTAAGGGCATTCACTCCCGAGGACGCCTACTTAACCCGGATCCCCAAAGATCTCACCCACAGAGGAGCAGGCTCCGGGCCCACAGGTGCAGGGCGGGGCAGGGCCTCCTTCCTCGCCTGCAGACTCCCTGCTCTATTATCAGCCCTGCCGCCAGGGGGTGCGCGAGGTCAGGCAACAAAAAGGCTGGTCGTCTTCGGGCCGCCTTGGTGTGTTCCATTGACATTTGTTACTCACCAAGGTGCTTGCCCCGTGCAGGCTCCTGGCATTTCTACTCTGGACAATTTAAAGAAATCTTGTTGAATTAATTCCTGCGCCCACCACCCACGCTATGGCCAGCGTGCTTCCAAGTTGCCCCGTTTTTTAGTGGCCTCCAGAGAGCTGGCTTGAAACCGTTCTGCGACTCCTACAGCTCTTAGCAGCAAGTTCAAAGCTCGCCTCTCCGAGCCAGAGATCTTGGTGCCCCACGCGCCAGGTTCGTGCGGTTCCCCGCGTGGGTCGCGTTGTTTTAGGCCTCTGACCTTTCACACTTGCTGCTTCCTCAGCCTGCAGCCTCTCCCTGCATCCTCCCTGGGCTGCTATGGGCGCCTGGCTCCCCGGCCCCAGCACCCAGCAGCTATCCAGCATGTTCCCAGCAAAAATGAATGGCCCAGCGCTTAATCAGAGATTTCCTCCTCCCCCCTCTGAGCGCGACAGACGGGTAGCCCCCTGCGGGCGGGCGGGGGGCCAGGCGGCCGTGTTCTTTGTCTTGGCGGTGCCTCTTCAGGGGCCGCGGTCGAGCGGCCTGAATCCACTGCGGAAGACTGCGTGCCCCCGGGGAGTGCACATCAAAAGGAACCTGGGGCCAGCTAGAGAGGTGGGGCTGGGATGGGGATGGGCAATCCGTCTGGGCACGGGCAGGTCTGAGGTCCCCGATATTCACACACATAACAAAATGCTTCCCACGTGCCAAGCCCCAGCCCCCAGACCCCTGGCCCTGGCGCCCGCCTTTGCCCTCTTTCAAATGGGAGGGTGGCCTCGGGGTCCACCGCATGGAAGACTCCACCTCACTCATTCTAGCGGGCCTTGGAGTGAATTTAACTCTTTCCCCATCGAATGCAACCCACCCTGCGGTCCAGGGGTGCCTATTAGAGAGATGGTGTTTCCGTTTGTGACACGTGTCATGGGGGCACCCTCCCCCTCCTGGGCAGGGACCATTCCTGTGTTCCTACCAGCAGCTCTGGGCGGGCAGGAGGAAGGAAATTAAGCCTGTGTTGAAGGAAGGACACCTGGCAGGGGAGGGGAAAGAGCTCAGGAATCCCCTCCTCTGAGGAGCTTTCAAGTCGGGGGGGAAATCCCCACACAGGCTTCCATTCTCCAGGGCCATGTGGGGCCACTAGCAAGTTTCCACACCGCCTCTCCAGTCCTCTCCTTTACTTTCTCAGGCTGTGAGGCCAGCACAAGTCTAGATTCCACCCTCCAGCCCACTTGTTTCCCGGCCCCTATTCCATTCCTTTTCCCAAGCTCACCACCTGGGTCTCCGCGTGCTCCCAGGCTGCCTAGAGGAGGCATCAGATACAATGTGGCCCTTCAGGGAATGACCAATCTTACCTACACATGGCCCAGAGCTACTGGCTGGGGACATCTCAGCCAACCCCCACCCCACCTGAAGCCTCAGAAATCTTTTGCCCCTACTGCCCAGGGCTGGCACCTGTGGAATCTTGGGGCCCAGAAATGACCCCAAGAGGCCATCTAATCCAGCCCCCACCTCCCAACCACATTGAATCTATATTGGTATCTTGGTGGCCAGGGAAAGTAGCCCTCCTCAGCTCTCGGAAAGCTGATTATGGGGCGCTGGAGCTCCCCCACACTGTCAGGCAAGATTTGAGCCCCAGTAGGTACCTCTGATCAGAAAATGAGCTGAGAGCCCTGGCTGGGTAGGACAGAAGTCCAGGTGGGACCTAGAAGGCCATGAGGCAGTGTGCGTGAAGGGCTCTCTACCCCTAGAGCTGGAGCCCTGGGGCTCCACAATTAGGGACAATGGCATATCCACTGTGACCTCGTTTCCAGGTGAATCAGGAGCAAGACGCCCAGGGTCAGCCCGCCATGAGGGCATCTCTAAGGGTCCCCATCTGCAGCCTCCAGCCCACCCACGGTCCTTGGGCCGGTGAGGGCTTTTTTGTCACCTTGCTCATCCTCCCCCTTCTCAGCCTCTCCTCTTCCCCCACTTTTCCTTTCTTTCTCCTTGGGCTCCCTCTGCTAGTCTCTCCTCTCTCTCTCGGTCTCTCAGCCCCTTCTCTCCCCACCCCCCCACTTCTGCACTCTGCCTCTACCTTTTCTCCCCTTCCCTCCTCTTTCATCTCTCCCCCCACCCCACCCCCTTCCAGTCGGGCTAGGAACGCGGCAGAAGCCGTGACAAGCCCAGGCGGCTCTCCCGACCCTTGGTGCCCGGGGCCAGTTCCCCAAGCTCCCCGCGCCCGACGCAGCCTTGTGCGGAGAGGGCTCTCAGGATGCGCAGTGGCAGCGGGTTCGAGCTGTGGGCACGGGTGGCCTAGATCAAAGGCCAGAAATGTCTGGCCCCCTGGTATGAACTTCCTCCAGCGTGTCCCTCACCTGCTGGAAAGCCTGCGTTCCAGGCTTCAGCAGGACTTGGGGGCGGCTCTTGCGCTGCCCCTTCTGTTTCAATCTCCCTGAGCAGCGGCCCTTGCCCCATTCTCACTGGCCTTGCTTTCTTCACCCCAGGCCCAGGGCTGCTCCAGGGTCCCGAGTGCCTCTGGGGGCCTTGGGTGGCCAGGGACGGGGTTTGGGGGGGCAGGCCACCCAAGCGACAGGGGGAGAGTCCCCCCAAGGTCTGTCCTTCATCTCAGCAGCACTCAGGGCTGAGACCTAATTTCTTGACTCTGGAGAGGGAGAGAACAGAAAGAACCTACCGGCTTAGAAGGACTTTTTACCTATGGTAACGGGTGGGGTATTTGGGTGCATGTAGTGTCCACACAGGGGAAAGGGGCATTATCACCAACTCCAGGTTGGAGCCATGGGCTTCAGGCAGGGGAGTTGGGGGGAGGGGGGATTGTGACTGGAGGGCAGCAGGGTCTTCCAGGGACCCCCGCTGCTCCCTGCCTGGGTTGCAGCATTTCACCCGCCTCAAGACGGTTCATCCATAAGATCCAAATAAAACTGCGGGTCGTACTTCTGACCCGAGCTGGAGGCCGGGCCTGAACCCCTCGAGGAGGAGAAAGTGACCCGGCTACGGAGCAGGAAATGCAACTGGCCGCTGGTGTCAGTTGCAGGAAATGCAAAGGCAGCAGGAGGTCCCGATACCGATCTGATCCCTGACAAAAGACTCAAATGACACTCGGCTCTGTCCCCCGGCGCCGCCCGCAGCCAGACCTTCGAGCCTCCGCGGACCCCTCTGCGCGCCTCTCGGACACCCAGGAAGCGGCCTCCGGCGGATGGGTCGAACGACTGGTGGCTCGAGGGCTCGGGAGGCTGGAGGCTGGGAGGGGTTGCATTTCCCAACCCCCTCCTCGACCCTTGGATCTTGTCCTGCGGAGGAGCGAGGCTTCTGGAAACATCCCTGTGCTTTCTACTCTCGATTCCTCAGGGGCCCAAGTCCCAAGAGGTCACAGTCCCCCGAGAGAAAAGGAGCCATCTATCCATGCCCACGCCAACCCGGCACCACGTGAACACCCCGGTCAAAGCCCAGGTCCCTAAACCTGGCAGGCGAGGGGCCGCGGCGGTCCCGGGCCAGCAGAGGGTCAACGTGCCGCGTCCCCTCAAGTTCTCACTGTGTCCGGGGCGCGGGCTTTGCCCAAGTTTGCAGGGCGATGCCCTTCCCGGAGCCCGACTCGTGGGCCGGGCGGGAGGGGAGCGTGATTGACAGGCTGAACTACAGACTCATCTCTTACCTTAGGCCGCGGGCGCTGATTGGCTGCTCGCTGACATCCTCAAACCCGGCTGCTCCGCGCTGGGCTCGGGAGGGGGGCGGCTTCGGGTGGAGGTGCGCTTCTGACAAGCCCGAAAGTCATTTCCAATCTCAAGTGGACTTTGTTCCAACTATTGGGGGCGTCGCTCCCCCTCTTCATGGTCGCGGGCAAACTTCCTCCTCGGCGCTGCTTCTAATGGAGCCCCACCTGCTCGGGCTGCTCCTCGGCCTCCTACTCTGTGGCACCAGGGTCCTCGCTGGCTACCCAATTTGGTGGTAAGACTCGCCTCTTGTCTGCCCGCGGCCCGATTGCTTCGCCGAGTCCCGGGGAGGTGGAGGGCGCCGGCTGGGGGTGGGCTGCGGCTGGGCTGGGGTTCCTTTCTCCTTGCCTTCTTCCAGCCCCCCCCACCCCCCACCCCTCCTGGATTTTCTGCTGGTGTCGCCTTCAGAATCCAACTCCAGGCTTCTCTGATAATCACCATTTTCCCTGCTACTCGCTGCAGAGGCTGGAGGACTTTACCCACCTCAGAAGGTCTCTTGTTCTTAGATCCTAACCCTCCACCCATCTGAATCTGGGGGCCCCAAAGACCTTCCATTTGCTTGCAGTTTGGTTTCTGGAAATCCAGCGCTGTCCCTGGGGCCCAGCCACTCCTCTTCTCCATTTTGGGGTCTTCATGGGCAAAATCATCCTGTTCCTTCTTGCCACCCCCACCTCTGCCGGCGCCTCCATCAAGAGATTTCTCCACAATAACCCCCTTTTGCCTTCATATTTTAGACCCCAGTGGCTTCAGGGATCCCAGGGGCAGGGGAATGGGAGGGGGGGTTTCATCAGACTCTCCCCACTCTGCTCTAGATTAATCTTGAGCCTCAGAAGTGAATGTGGTATGTGCTTATCTGAGATGCCATTGAATTCGGATTTTATTCATTTCTTGCTTGTCCATCCTGGCGAAAGGGGGGCTCCTTGAAAATGTAGTTGTTCAGAAAGGGGTGGGTTTGTTCTTTGACCAAAAACCCAATTCTCCATGTCAAATTCGTTCCTTTTGGAAAACCAAGGACCGAGGAGAAAGGGAGCGAAGGAAAGGAGAATTCCATCCCTGAGAAATGCGGGGATACAAAAGACATTTTTAGTAAATAAGGCTGGGAAACCAGGCGCGGTGTTTTTTTTTTTGGGTGTGTGTGTGTTTGGGGGTGCTGACCAAGGAATAAACAGCCCTTTGGGAGCTCCAGTTCCTGGGAGTCTCCTTGTTTTCCGAGCGGCCCCATCGCCCCCCGGCAGGTCCCAGAGGCCAGAGGGGAAAGACACACTGAAACCAGTCCTCTAAATTACACCCGCCTCTCCTCAGTCTCCAGCCCCCTGCATTCCGGAAAACTTTAATTAAAGAATCTTCCCCTCCTGGATGGAGGACAGCTTCGGCCTGGGGGGTGGGAGGTGAGGAGGAAGAATTTGGGATCTGTGAGTGTGAAGAGGGCCTGTGGCTCCTGGGGTGAAAGTCAGAGAGGAGAGCCTCCCGGGTGCGTTGCGTTGCCACCTGCGTGTTCCCCTTTCCCTGCCTTGCCACCCTCTCCCCAGCCCAGGATAAGGGAGGCAGAGCCAGGAGATTGGGGGGGCCACACCCCGAGTCTTCCTCCAGTTGTTTGTAGGTGGCTGCGTTTGTGTATGGGTGTTTTGGGGGCCGGGATGGGGGCAGGAGCAGGGCACAGCCAAGGGTCTCTGTTTGCAGGGTGCTGAGAGTTGCTCCCAGGACAGACCCCCAAGGGGAAGTCTTTCTTCTGCCCAGCCTATCTTCCCCATGGCGCTGGGCTGGCCTGAGGCCTCCTGTACATAAAGAAGTGTGTGGGGGTGGCAGGGGCAGCCAGGATTCCAGGCCAGGGGCTTGACTGGTTGTGGGGAAGGCCGCTGTGGAAACCAGTCCTGCCTCTCCTGCCCTTCCTGACCCCCCTTTCCATCCCCCGGCGAAGGCCACGCTGTTCTTTGCTTTTGCAGGGACACTGGCCAGGGTGAGGGTAGGAAGAGAAGGCTTGGAACCCCACAGGCTACAGGGATGAGAAAGAGAGACCAGGTTCCCCTGCCCTGTGAACTGGAGAAGGCATTTCCCCGGGGGGGGGGGGCAGTGCCCATGGGGATGAGGGTCTGGGGTATAATGGTGTATTGGGGAACATCTAGACAGGGACCACCCTATTGAAAGGTGTTGGAAAAACCTGCAAAGCCAGGGAATTGGCCCTAATGTAATGCTGGACACATGCCTTGTTTGGGGGTTGGGGGGACAGAGATGCTGCTTTGTCTGAGCAGAGAGACGTGTGTGTGTGTGTGTGTGTGTGTGTGTGTGTGTGTTTTCTAGGTCTATGACCCTAAGGGGTGTCATCTGTACACTAGTGTGCTCTGTGTGTAGGAGTGTCTGCAACTGGGTGACTGCTGTGGATGGAAACTCGGACGTGATGTGCTTGGGGGATCCACGGCCCGTGACAGGGTGTGCTGTGTCTGCATACAAGTGTCAGCAAGTGGCTGATTCTATGATGTGTATGGGTGAGACAAAGTCTAGAAGTATCTATGCCCATGTCAAGGTCAGCACCTGTGTCTGCTTGTGACACTGCATGACTATGTTCATGACTGGGCATGTGAGTGGTGTGTGTGTGTGTGTGTGTGTCTGTGTGTGCACATGCCTTCATGATAGTATAAGGGGAAAGCCCCACAGATGTCTTTGTGCATAGATATCAGTGCTCATGGCCATGACCTGATTGTGCTTGTAAATATGAGTATGAGGGCTGTATCTGGGTCTGCCTGTGACCCTGTCCTCAAGTGCCAGTGACCATGGCTGGGACCCTGGCTACGGATATGTTTGCACACATACGACCCGTAGGTGTGCATGACCTCCCAAGATTGGGAGTTTGGTAGGTGTCCATGGTTCTGGAGGGACAGTCCAGCAGGAGATAAAGGTCTAATAAGGAAGCTGCAAGGGGCACAGCTGACTGGGATCCAGGCTGGGAGGTGTGGGGCTGGGAGTGCAGAGCCTTCCTTGGCACAAGAGCATCTTGTCTGCCTGAGGACTATGGTCAGCAGCCCTCCCCTCTTAGGCTGATTGTCTTTGGTCTTGGAGCTGGAATGGAGGGTGACTCACCTTCTCAGAGCTGGGACTGAGACAGTAGAGTAGATGGGCCTCTGATTCCTGTTCCCACTCTGCCCCCTGGGCAGTCAGATTCCAGTCCTTTTAGCATCTGAGCCCATCATGGCTGCCCTCTTGGGCCCACCCAACTCACACATTCCCCAGGAAGGCTTTACAGGGGAAATCTTGTAAAGGGATAGCTGGGATTTCTGTTCATGCCACCCCTCAGCAAGGTGCCCCCACCCCACCATGTCCTGTGCTGCTCAGGCCCCAACCCTGGGAGAAGGTACACCAGAAGTAGAGCTTTGAGGGGCCTCAAACAGAGAGGCTCATAGAAGGAGACGTGCTCCAGGGCCCTGCAGCCAGGTAGTGGCAGAGCTGGGACAGGAAGAGGTGACAGCAAGCACTGATTTCTATAATTCTTCTTGTCAGTTGCAGTTAGTGCCTGGTGGAAGAACTTGTCTTTCTTCTCCTTCTTGGGGGAGAAAATGAACTATCTTATGAGGACCCGGCCTAGTGCCTGCTACATTCCAGACGCAGAGAGGCCCTGATGGAAGGGGCCTATGTTGGGGATAGGTAGCGTACCCCACCTCTGTGTGACCCACCCATCTGGGCCTCTGTTTACTTCTCTTTCACCCAGGGGTCACCAGCCTGCTCTACCTTACAGCTTTTCCAGGGGACAGTTCTGCAAAAGTCAAGGGCAGTGAGCTGGGAAATACATCTTTGTTCTCTTTCCACCCATTCATTCCCTGACTCAAGAGCCTGCCCGAAGCCCTGCCTCGGTTTCCCCATCTGTCAGGTATCCCCCTGCCTCCCCAACCCACTCCTATCTCCACCCACTGTTCAGAGGCTTGTGAACATGTTCAGTCAAACCCTGTGGGGGTCAGTGGGCTGGGCCCAGGGAGGCACCTGGAGACTGCGGGGGAGGAAGGCCCCCGGGCCAGGTGTTAACACTTGTAACAGGCAGGAATTACAGCTGGCTGGGCTGGAGCTGGCGAGGAGCTGAGCTGGCTGGAGGCTGTTGATCCCACAGACAGACAGACAGACAGACAGACAGATGGGCAGATACCAGATCGGATGGCCAGGCTTTAAGCGGGTGGTCTCCTTTCCAGGGCAGGACTTTCCCTGCGGGGATGTGGTGGAGAAATTAATCCAGGTCTCTTGGAAGTGAGTTAACAGCCCTCCTGCCCACCCCACTCCCATTGTAGGCGGAGCTTGGTGTCCAAAGAGAGCAAAAGTGGTGGCTGATCTGTTTATATTCCTCTGATGGGACCGCATTTTGCTTTAAAAAAAAAAAAAACAAAAAACCAAAACAGGTCAAACGTTATAATAATACCAGGAGCCTGGAGCTGAGTTATGTTCTTGGAAGAACCTGCTTTCATGTGTGGGGAAGGCATGGGGGAAGGGGCGGCTGTCAGGGAAAGTTCTCCCGGAATTTCACAGCATTTTGTCAACAGCTCCAGGGCTGAGGCGAGCCCTGGGTGGAGTCTGGGCCCTGAGCATCATCCCAGCCCCAGGGATCCTCAGGTATGGGACGACTGCCCAGCGGGTAGTCCTTTGGGGGGAAGGTGAAAAGACGCAGGAGCTAGACCATGGTGCCCAGTCCTTTAGCAGGCACTTTCTCCCTCCCTACAGCGTTCCCAGTGGCAAATTCAGCCAGACCTCACCAGCACCCACATTCTGTGGCATCTGGGTGTAGGCTGAGTCACTGATAAAGACAGAAAGGGCTCTAGGTGGAAATCCCAAAGAGTAGACTTAGCCAAGCAAGGACCCCCCCCTCCTGCTCTCTGCAGAACTTAATGCTAATAAACCTGAATGGTACTTAGCAGACATCGAATTGAAAAGGTGATATGGACACACAGTGGGGGAAGGCAGCTCTGACCCTGGGGTTTTCTCTAGATTTCCAATAGGTGTCTCCTTGGTCTGGGCAGGAGACAAGGAGCCTGGGTTTGGGCAGGAGCAGTGACTCTTCTCAGAGGAGGCTGCAGCTAACAGACCCTCCTGGGGAGAGTGGGAAAAAGGAAGACCTTTCTGGCTTCAGCATGGGGTGAGTCCAGGCTTTGAGGAGGACATGGTCTTCTAGACTTTTCTACCTACCCTGATGTGAGCCACAGAATCCCTCTAAAGCCACCAGAGGGAAAGCTATTCTCTACCCCTGTCCCTTGATGGGGGAGG